AGAAATATTTTCTCTCAACTTCCCTTGCTGACTTATGCAGCGGAGGGGCAACCTCGATGCCTTTGGTTCCGGTACCGTAAGATCTTTTTCGTTATCAATCTCAGTGATCAAGCTCGGAATTCAACAGGTGACGATTTTTGGTAAGATCAGTGAGCATTGAAAATGGTGGCAATTGTTGTTTTCCCAGAAGTTTCTTGTTGTGGTTCTTTGAACTTATTACTTACGTCTTCATAATTGTGATGAATAACTTTTCTATTGTTAATTTTCTTGAACAACATGGATCTAAGAAACAGTAATGGGAATGCAATCTATGCACTTGGATTATGAAGAAGAATCTTCTGTTTGCAATTAATCGCTTTTAAGAAGATGGAATAAATATTGTTAAATAATCGTACTTAACACGTAAATTCAGAGTAAATTGATACGAAGCGTACCAAATAATAAATTGAAAATAATCGTATTAAATTCATAACAAATTTGTTCGAATGAATAAATAATCAGATTCTTAATTTTCGAACTTGACAAATAAACTGAAAAGATTCATCCGTAAATCATGGTCAATAGAGTATAAATTCGTTTACCATGAGGGAAATTTATCTTACCACCGTGGAAGAAAGCAAAAGCCGTCGGAATAGCTACGAGCAATGAGATGTTCAGGAAAAAGAAAGAAAGAAATTAGGTTTTATATTTGTGGTGTAACAATAATTTATTTAATTAAAAATTATTTTAAAATCCTATTTATGTAATTTTACTTAAGGATATTTAAGTAAATAAAAAAATTGTGATGTATTTAATAAAATTTGTAGTGATAATATAATTACCCATAAACTTACATACAACAATAATTAAATTTTGCCCCTGTTTGGCGAAAATTAAAATCAGATTATAAATAGATTTTGATAAAAATTGAAGAAATGTATGATTAAGAAGTTATTAAACACAAAATATATGAATGAAATGAATTGTCGACTTTGATTTAAACTAAAATACATATATGAATGAAATGAATTGTCGACTTTGATTTAAACTAAAATTTAGATTTTAATCGGTACCAAACACTGTCTTTATCTTGTAAATCAAACACTCGTAGTCCATTCTATACGAGTAATGCTACTTGCAGTCGCTCATTGAAGCAGTCGTCCTATGTGGCGCGCACATGGCATGTAGTTATTTGATACATTAATGTTGTAATTTTTGATCATATTTAATGTATCAAATACACATTTGACATGTGTGTCACATACGACGACTGCATTATTCATTCTATACTCCTCGCAACCCATCAATTGATGACCAATAGAGACCTTCCATAGTCCACGTACACTCAGCGTGTTGACGTTTAGCGAAGGCAAACCCAAAGAAACTAGACTTGGAAATAATAATCACGTGGGTCCCCCTGAGAACCATTTCCTACCTGCATTCTTTGACTCAGCAAATCTTCTTCTTCATTTTCCAATTTTCCACCCTTGTGGGGTTCAAGTCCTTTCACACATTTCTTGAATGTCCTCCAACTACTTGGCCACAATCCAAAAGAGAAATCCAAAACCAACCAATTCTTGTATTGAAATTGACACATTTATGCAGTAGACAAGTTGATATTCAATAATATTAATAACAATACGGGTTGCGTCCATCTAACTCAAGTAAATTAGCCGTCCCAACTGCCAACTTCTCCTTTTATTTCTTGGTCAACCGTCCGAAACACGACACTGACAATTTCATCATCGCTTTTGACAAAGTTGTTTTCTTTCTTTTATTATTTATTTTAAGAAAAGAGAAAATAATGAGAAAGTGAAAATTCATTGAATCATACACAATTTCTGTAGTGCGACAAACAGTCATGCCATTGATTGTTTGTAGAAATTTAAAATTAATTGCAATCAATTGTTAATCGCCACATATGCTTTCGAGTAAAATTCACGTAGATAGATTCATAGAGAGAAAAAGGAGGATCCATTGTTCTTTCCACAAGGAATAAACTAAACCCAGTAAATCCCCTTCGAGATATTGAACTGATGACAAACCAGATAATTAGTTTCTAATGCTAGATTATGCACTAATTACATACAATTAAGAAGACTCTAAAATCATACTACTTGTTTCTGCAACTGAGATGTTATGATTATGCTCGCCTTCATATGTCACTATAAGCATTTTTGGATCATCCAAAGCTCTCTCGACATGTTTACGCGCTGGACATCCCCTCACACTGCTGCACTTGTAGTAACCCCTGTATGCAGTTTAATCACCTCGTTTAGATGCTTACACAATTACAATATTTGTTCAAATCTGAGGAATTGATTTTTACCTGGGATGGGGAGAACCTTTGATGGGTTTTTGTCCGTACTTTCTCCATGAATAATCATCTGGTGGGATGTCTGATAGCTTCATGCTTATAGCAGGAACCCTAATCACCCTTTTCTGTCTTAGCTTTCTATTTATGGCAATCATTAGAATCGTTAGGATATTTCTTTGGTTGTAACGCAAATGGGGCTAGTGTTTAATTAATTAATTGATTACCTTCTCTTGGAACAGTGGCAGCGACCGGATGAAGAACTGCACTTGCCGGAGAGACCATTTTCCGATGAACTGCATCGCCTTTTAAAGGAAGAAGAAGACAGAGGAGGCTTCCCGGCAGAAGAAAGATTGGAAATCTGAAACGCTGAGGAAGATGAAAGCTGCTTACTATCTGTATCGCCAGTCAAAGACGAAATAAAAGAGTTTGCACGAGAAATCACCGGAGAGTAAGAAAAACTAATAGTCTTTGACCCAAATTCTTTCATATTTTCTTTCACAATTGGGATCCCTACTTGGTGATGATTATAAGGAAAATCTGAAGCTGGGACTTGTTGAATAGGAGTTGGACAGTAAACCTTAGTGTCCACAGATTCTTCTCTCAATGGAGGATTCGGAATCGGAGGGAAAGATGAAGAAGAAGAAAAAGAGGAAACAACAGGGGCTCTTCTAAAACGAGCATGGCCAGTTCTGGTTCGACCCAGAAGAGAAATAGCTTTTCTGAATTTGTTTACTGCCACATCCGTCACAGCAACATAATCTGTCTCCATTTCCATGCCTATTTTTTCTTCAGACAAATGATTCTGCTTATTTGGAGATGAAAATAATCTAATAAGCTTCTCAACACTCTGAAGGCCAGAAGCAGCTTCTTGCACAGCGTTTTGTTCTGATTGTGATACAAAGTTTGTCTGGTTCATAATGAGCTCCACAGCCATGGCTGACTGGAGAATAATGTGCAGGGAAAGTGTTTGATAAATGGTCAAAATGATGCCATATGCGAGGTTAAAGAGGGAGATAAAGTGAGTAAATAATAGATGACTGACCTGTCACTTTAAAATCTAAAACCTGCCTCATCAAATTTAGGTGCGAATGAGATCGGACGACACATATATCAGAACGGGGGCGGGGGGCCGTATGTCTCGAGTTTTGTGTGAAATAATACTTTATTGTGTGGAAAATGCTGACTATAGTCCTCCACTTGTGTAATTTTATATAAAGAACGATTTTCGCCTCTACTTTTAAATAATCCCATGTTTGGTAGAAACTAGATTTTAATTTAACACAAAATTAATAATTAAGTCCATATTTGACAACTATTATTTATAAAAAATAATATTTTGAATAGTAATTTTTAGGAGAATGTATTAAAAATAAAAAAAAATTGAATTTACATGCAAAATATTTTGTTATTTGAATGTGTGGTTGAAAATAAGTATATATAAAAAAAAAAGTTTTCAAATAATGGATGTTAAACATTTACTAATTTTAATAACATATTTCATGTGACTCCTAATTTTGTAACTACATATTTCATTAACTTTTATCAAATCTGTTAAAATCTAATTTTAATCTCCACCAAATAGAGACTAAATTCAAATTTCAAAAAATGCAAATGAATCTCAGTTAAATAATTCAAAATATGTAAATAAAAAATGTGATAATTAAAAGGCATTAAATGATAAATTCATTTAAATACAAAGTCGTGTGATTAATTTAATTCGACCTACCAAGTTTGACAATCTAAATTGATACTCTAGCATTATTGGTTATAGTTAACATTACTCTGATTTTTATCTTGAGAATGATTCTATATTTGGAATAATATTTCCTATAAAATATAATTGATCTAGTAGCTATTTTATAAAGATATTATTACATATATATCAAGATTTAAATAATTAATTACTTAATATCACACAGTGCTCTATCATTTGTCAATTTAAAATACAATCAATTTTTCATCCAATCTTTTTCCACCACATCATATTATGTAATTTATTATATGCTTTTTTTTTTATAATACTTGTATTTTCTTTTCCTAGGTACCAAAGTTTATATAAATTACTTACAAGTACTCGGATCCCTTTATATTCATACATTTTAAGGGAATCACGAGTACTATGCACTTATTCATTACTTATTTTTATTTATTTATGATTTTAAACTATTTACAAATACTTTCCAAACATGTCGTACGTAATTAATTCATGTCATCTTTATTGAAAAGTTTCTCTATATTTATTGAAAGATTTAAATGTTATTGAATTTTAACCTTTCTCTATATTTAATATTTTATAGTGTTTCAAGAAAGCGTAAAATTCAATAGAATGTGTATTTTATTACTTCATTTTTTGAAATTATTTCAACATATTAAAATCATTTTTCAAATGCAATGATACCTTGTGGAGAGAATATAATTGTTAATTAAATTTTTTATACTTTTCCCCGAAAAAGAAAAAAGGAAAAAGAGCGTTTCAATGAATTATTAATTATTTCAACGAATCTAATCACTCCACACTATTGTCATTTGTACTTTAGGTTTGAATTGGTGCGTCGAAACATTGACCTTTATGGTGCAACGCGGGCCCCAGCTCAAAGGGAATTGGTCTTAAATGTTCAGTGGACAGGTCAAAGAGGTCCCCCGTTTGGTTTGGACGATTTGTTGTTTTTTTACTTGTTCTGTCTCTATTCATAATTTCCTTCAACCAATGGTATCGCTATTCATAGACCCAAGATTTTTGTTTGACAAATGTATTGAAAATGGATATTCATCCCTTAAAAATTGAAGAGTAATGATACAGGTACATAAGCATTTACACAAGGGTTCACATAATTACACGTGACATATGATCCAATCTTTAATTCAAATTTCACACTTACGCATCAACAA